GAGTTTATAAATCTTGCAAATTTCCAATTTTTAGCTTATATTATTCCTTTCTTGGAGCACAATATTGTTTGGGCAGAAGATACTCTCTATTAAAGTCTATTGATATCTTATGAACGATACCTACGCTGTTCAAATTTCAATATTAAATTTGTAAGAATAATTAATATCTCATCCAAACCATATAATATCATATCGATGGTTGATTCTTCATAGACTAATAAAACAAAGATAAGTTTTTAATCACGTAATTAAGTTACTACTTAGTGCTTACCAAACGTGTGAAACTGATCAAAGCGATTTGAAGTAAACATATGGAAACACATATGTTTATGTTCATGCAATAATCACGCTTGCTCGTAGATGATATAAAGAATACATCACATTTGTGCATATGTGAGTAAGCTTCGAAGACGAGACGACTTTGTTGACAGAAAGTTTGTCCTTTGAAACAAACCCTAATCCTTTAGATGTTTTATTTCGATTTAAAAGGTAGATTATAGCGAGAGAAATAGTGATGGCATTATTATGAATAGTTTTTTTCGGTAAAATTAATGAATTACACGATTTTATTTCGAGCAGCTGTATTGACAATGTTTTGAATAGTTTTCTCTACTTTTCTTCAAACTCTAATTTCCCTTTCCAATAGAAAATTCTAAAAGTGACGTCAAAGGCTCAAAATCTTGTGGGTATCATTATTGTATGTAAGGCCATAATTATGGATGGTAAATAAAGGTAAATATAAGAGATTTTTAATATTATAAAATTATTATATTTATCCAAACCATTTTTAGATTTCTAAATATAGAATTTATATTACCCATATTTAATGGGTAAATATAACATCTTTTTCTATTCATCAATTCTAGTATAATTAATATTATAAAATCCATATATTATCTCAATCATATTTACTAATGTTCTAAGTATATAACTCATATAATAAATGACAACGTGTGTGTGATAGTGAACTGACGGAAACGACTCGTGTATATGAAAGGATTGTTTTAATTATGTCGTGGCAAATCATTTTTACTTCGAATAACCAATAAATTATTAACCAAAGTTAAGAGTAATATCCAAAATATGTAAAAATTGGAGCATTTGTTATATTTAAAACATCAATGGACAATCTTAATTTATTAAAATTGCAGTAGAGTGATCCGGAAAGAAACTAACTAAATCGATATGACAATTTTGTAACCATCATAAGTAAATTGTTTCATTGACATATATCATAATCAAATCAACCATTCACGTGTAGCAAATTCTTATCAAGGCAACTATAAAAGTAAAATATGTCACACCAGCATTAAACGCGTTCACTTTCTATTGATTTAAATGTTGTTTTGTTCATCTTGTGGTGTACTCTCAATACTAAAACTTTTCAACATATATCGCATGAGTGGACTTCTGTTTTGTTTTATCTGAATCTGATTGGCGAAAAATTCATACTTTTTTCCATGAAGCACGTACTACTTGATGATCGTTATATTTCTATGTTTTCGCACCAAATTGAACCCTAGCGAATAGACCATAAATTGCATGTACGATTATATAAAGTTCGATAAAATGGTTTGCCTAGAAAAATAATTCAAGGTGGAAGAATATAAAAAGCGGGAAAAAGACCAACATTGTGAGGCAGAGACTTTGAATGAGAAAGATGAAATGATGGAGGCATGTTTGGCATCTGGCCATCTAAAGGCCAAAACCATCCTATCCAAATATTTAATTATTTTTTGTCTTTTTTAAAGCAAAAGAATCCGTTTCGATATTATAACTACAATGACTATCC